TGAAGCAAAGTCCAATCATTTCGAATTATTTTTCGGTATATTAATTCGGGCTCCCAACGACAGGAGGCGAGTGAATTCTTGCAACACATCATTTGAAACGATGAGAACTTGTTCTTTTCACGCTTGTCAATTCGCAAAATTATATCTGAATAAACATTACGATCAATTAATTTTATTTTATTCAAATCTCTTGCAAGACATCTTACCATGATAGCTTATTTAAGTAAGACCGCGATTTGATGACCGTTTGCATCCTAATAAAATCCCACGTATATTCAATCATGAAACAGCAAACACATTAATATGTCTGTTTATTTACAAGCCTTTAATATTACTGTTATAAAAATTATTTCGCAGTTGTCCAACAATATGAGTGACATACAGTAATGTCTTCCAGTTTTGAACATATGCGCTTTTATAAATCGCAAACATTTTTGTGTTTTATAATTTTAACATGTAACTTTACTGTAACACTATGTCTCATATGTATTTACATAGTTGTTACTTCAGTTACCCTTTAACTTTTGTATATATGTTTCAAAGGGTATCAATATTCGTACTCCACAAACGACCCACCCGAAGAACTTGTTTTAGGTCAAAATACCAAAGTCGGTAGCCCTAACTTGGCACGAAGATAACGACCCATAACATTCGCTCAAAGGCGAAACTAAAGTTGTATTGCGACTAACTTATCAACGCTTCTGGGTAACCATCGCTGTAACTTTATTACAAACATATTTTTTGTTGATCTGAATTTTTTGTCGACATTTTGTTCATCACGTCCCATCTAAATATTAATTTTATTAAATATCTTGTGCTTCTCATTTCAGTCTTGTTTTATGGATTAGAGTATTTTTACATAATATGATTCACATTTTTATCGATGTTATAATTTGTTTTTGAATTAATTATGAAGAGAAAATATTTTATTCATTTCAATTTAAGTTGTAAATGCAGACTTATTTTAAATAAAAAAGACAATGCGAGATACAAAATATCATCTAAAATATCTCACCAAGCATTTGTTACCTTTTTTAGTAACCGCGTGTTATCCTTACAATAGTATTTCGTCAATGTTTTTTTTTTTCTACGTAACCTGCGCAAATAACGCTTTACTATAAATTAAGTGCTGGTTCTGCGATCAAATGCCGCAAAATTGGCCGGGGCACAGAAACCTGACTAATTGTGCTACGGCATTTGACTTTCTTCTATAAAAAACGATTGCGAAGCAACAGCTACAGGTGGAACTATGAAAAAAGTAACAATAATCTCACCCTTAATAGAGACAAGAAGCGCGCTGCATTCCAATTGTCGTATCCCGTGAGCCTCAATTAATCCAGTGTAACTCGACGCGAGCACCTTGTCGTCGGCTGCGTAATGCGTCGTGATTTACGTTCTAGCAGCCAGTCGTTAATCTTATTACCGCTTTCAATAACTTTATGAACCCGACGAATTCCTCCCACACTCGAATATACACCTTCCACTGAAGCGGTAGGCGCTAGAGTTTAACGCGGCAGAATGCGATTTATTTTTGTCGACTTTACAATAATTGTATCCGCTTCAGAAGCCTTATAACTATCGCTTAGCGGCGATAATTGCATTTCAGTATGACTGATTCTTATGAACCTCGTGATTTCGAACCGCATTAAAGGTTTATGTAACTGTTTTACCGTGCTCGAATTCTATGACTTACGGAAGATCTTTCTCGTAAATAAGTTGCAGGACAGATGCCACACCGGTCCTCTGCTAAATATATAAATGGGCACTAACGTTGATTAATAATTAATAATAACTTATCGCATACACTTGTTGAATAAATGACACCTAACTTACTTACAAAGGTTAAAAGGATACTAAATTTAGATTTTGTGAGGCGTTTTTTTTCTCTTATAATCCCTTAAATATCATTTACACTTTAAACATTAACATCTGCTGAAAGTTGCATAAGTCGATAAAAACCTATGAATCCGATTAGCAATCAGTAGTTACGGCGAGTCCGTATGTCGTGCAACAGACATTCTTATTCAAACGGCACGCGGGTTCCGATTGAAATTCGACATGTTATTCCCTAAAACGTTCCAATAATAAGATGTAAATGAGCCGGCCGGCGGTGTTGGAAACAAAAAACCGATAGCGTAAAGGGTTGTTTTCAGTGAGCTTGTAATTTGCATATATTTTCGTAATAACAACTTCCGTTTGCGTCGGCGTGTCACAGGGAACACGATACGTGCCTGTTTGATTGCATTATTATACGCTGCCTCCGCTAGCGCCGATCTCGAACTCTTTGTGGAAGCTGATCCTTTTCTTTGAATGTTTTCGCCTTATACGAAGTTTATTGCAGTATGTAAGAGGTTTATAATATATCGTTTCTTTGGTCTTGGATTTCTCTGTTTAATATGAAATAGTAGTTTATTATACAGATTCGTTTAGCCTTGAAAAATACTGTGGAGGCCACTATCTAGAATTTAATATTTCCTAATGAATACAATATAATTAAATCCTTTGAAAAGTGCTAAGACACTTTTGAGAAGTACTGACATCACTTTAGTAAGTTATTTTTATTTTCCAAAATTATTACAATTTGCGTAAGTGACAAATTTATTTAACCAATATAGTTTACGTCTATAAAATAAACTTTTTACACATTCGATTGCTATATAAACCGTATAGAGTATAGAGCAATATTCATACTGGAATTCGATTTGATGTCCCAATAAATCCATTTACGATTCGACACCTTTGTCTTTCATTATCATAATCCACGGCAGGTACTGTATACTCCTCAATAACAATTTATATGTGTCCCCAGAGCCTCGCTTCATCTCACTAACTCATCTTTAATATTCAGCGATAATGGATGTTCCGTGCTCGTTTTCATAATGCGTTGTAATAAGCCGCCGCATTTAATACTTCATCAATAATTCATACGAGTTGTTAGATTTCTTATATGTCCGATCGAGTGTAAGTACACTCTTGGGCTGATTGTTTTGGAAACTGTATCGACTTTTTTCTTTATTAAAAACGTTTGTATTCTTTTTCAGTGTGCCGACATGTGTCAATTTTCAGATTATAAAAAAATGGTTTAATTAACGTAACCTTTTTGTACATTCTAAGCTATTAATAAAACCATTCTGAATAGTTGGCTTATAGAGTGCTTCAGTAGTGTAACTTAGATTATTATTTAGTCACTTTGGCGTTATATGAATTACTCTATTTGGTCATTATAATAGTATATGTTTTCTAATTTATATATACTTAACTATACAAGGTGTATATTCATTTAATTATCTATTAATAATTGAGTAACCCCTATACAAAAATGAAACGTTGGTGCGAGTTTATTCATTTTATTGCGCTTAATAATTTCAGCCATTACTTTTAGTTTTACCAGCGAAAGCTAAATACATGTTAACGTTTTCGAAACACGTAATCAGCAGACATCCCGCTGACTCCGTCATCACCCGTCTGTCACTCGTGTGCGCCGGAGTTGTTCGACGCTAAGCTTGAACAGTTCTAAGAAACACAATACAAAGTTTTATAAAAGATTGCTTAGTAATTGCTACATTTTTTTTCTCCTGTGTATTGTTACAATGTAAATGTTTGCATCCGTTAACTAATATAATTTAGATAAAACACTTTAACGGTTTAAAACGCGATATATTTTAGTTAAACTTGTTTGAAAATTATTTTTAACTACGGCCCGACGTTTCGGATGCTTTGCAGCAGCCGTGGCCACTGGGAGAATAAACATGGAGGATGCCTCTGACGTCAAAGTATAAATTGCTACGCCAGCGCCATCTGTTCCATCGAAGTTGGTATTTGGCGAAACTGGCTGGGTCCTTGCAGAATTGACTCACGGTGTCTTCGCTTTTGCCGGGATGCTGTTTATTGGAATCCAGAGTTTTTATTATGGGATTATATAAAACACCTAGATAATTTGAGGCCGTCCTAATATATAATAAAAATCACACAGTCTGTAGTTTGGTTAAGGTTTGCCGTTTTACTTGCACCAGAATGAGTCGGAAATAGGTTGATTTTCTTTATATGTTTAAGTAGGTACGGCACTCAACAGTTTTCTTTGTTTTTGAAATAGGAACTTATAATTGACTCTTATTCTAGAACCGTTAACGGCCGCGAGATCATTAATTTTAATACGCTTGTGTACCGGGCAATTTTAAAACAAATTAAAGTTGTAGACGGTGCGGTAACATTGGCCTCGGCGCTTTCAGAGAATTTTCACACTTTCTGATGAAAGTTTTAACACAATTACCCAGTCCGCAGCCATTCGACGGTCCTCGGGAAAAAACTTGGCAAAGAACAAACTAGCCGGCGCGCGGTCCAATTTAGCGACGTCCGTGTAAAGTTTAATGTACCAAATCTGAAATGTAACCGGCGAATTTTAACTAAGCGCTTGCATTCATGTCTTCCCGGCTTGGCTCGTTCTACTCGCATTCATATCTTTTGAAACAACTAACTTGAAAATTTAGCTTAGAGAGAATGGATATAACAAATATAAGATACTATACGTAGCAGTCTATAATTATGTCGCACTTTAATAGGACTCGACAAAGACTAGACGTTCAATGTGGAGGTTAAATTCTTTTGTCCAGTTAATTTGCAGAGAACATACGAATTAACTAGCTCTATTTGACATAGCGTTAGGTTCGTTTGGAATAACTGCGTTTCCTTAAAGAATCAGAATACAAAATAGATGAAACAATACATTTGTTCTTCTTTTCACCTGTAATTACGACCGCCGAGTAAACGTAATGCGTGATAGGAGCGAAATCATCCGTCGTAAGTAGGGCGACGCGGTACGAAACATACGTATGAAAACTTTTATGCAGCGCTTTTTATTCAGCCGCGTTTAATGTTACTTAGTTCGTTTATTGCTCGTTGTACATTCATTGTACTTACGTTTTATGCCCCTTTATATAGCTCATAGCCGGGTCGCAACGAGGAATTTGTTCATTTAAAATGAAAAACTGAGGAGCACTCTTTTACTCTTGTGGCAACATTGCACGGTCGACCCCCCTGCGTCGCCCCCGACCGGAATCCCCCTCCCCTCCTGCCCGCGACCCCAAGAGGCCGTGCCAGGACGCTACCATCCCGTCCTTCCCGGAACCCCTCTCCCAGCGGGATCCTCGGCTGCGACGAAGACTCGCGCTCCCCGTTCCGGAGCCCGCCGCGCCACCCGCGCCTGCCCCGCGCGCCGCACCTGTCGCGCCCGCTGCCGCGCTTGCCGCGCCTATCGCCGCGCCTGCCGTACGCTCCGCGCACACTCCGAGCGCCGCGCCTACCTCGAGCGCCGAGCCCGCTACTACGATCGACGCACCCCGGTCGTTCGCACAGCTCGCGGCCGCACCTGCCGCGGGCCGCCGCCCGGCATCGCCGCTGCCACAGACGTCCACCGCTACCACCGCCGCTGCCGCTGCCACCCCGCGCTACCCGCCACTAATTGTGGAGGTCCTGCCCGAGTGGACGACGCACTTCCGTGCCCTGAGGGACCGTCTCGGGCACGCGCCGAACGCGCGCCCCTTCGGCAGAGGGGTGCGCTTCTCACCAAAGTACGGGGAGGAGTACCGCACCGTGCAACGGTACCTGACGGAGCTCGAGAAGAACCAGAAGGTGTCGTGGTTCTCGTACTCGCTCCCCGCCGAACGCGACTTCAAGGTGGCGATCCGGGGCCTCCCGGCCGACACCGACCCTCAGCTCATCACGAAGGAGCTCAAGAGCAGGGGCTTCGAGCCCGTGCACGCCCAGCGCATCCAGTCATCCCAGGGGGGCCCCGGGTGCCTCTTCCTGATTATCTTAAAGAGGACACCGGGCCTCACCCCAGCCATTTTCTGCATCACCGAGCTCCTGTGCATGCCGGCCTTGACTGTGGAGGCGTGGCGCGGTAAACGCGGGCCCGCGCAGTGCCACAGGTGTCAAGCTTTCCGGCACTCCTCACACCACTGCCACCGACCCCAGGCTTGTGTACGATGCGGCGGCGAGCATCATGCAGCGGACTGCCCGCGCCCGCGGGACGAACCCGCAACCTGCGCCAACTGCAAAGGCGCACACCCTGCAAACCATTCCTCGTGCCCCGTTCGTCGCAGCGAGATGCGTAACAAGAAGGCGGGCACGGTGGCCTCCTCGGCCGCCATGAAGCAGTCCAAACCCCAACAGAAGGACCCAGAAGCCGAACCGCCGACCCATCGTGGCCCGCGGACCGGCAAGACAAAGAAGCGCGGCGGAAAGGGACGGATAGCTTCCGCCCCCCCCGCACCCCCAACGGCGCAACTGCATCGCCTCAGCGCCGCCGAAGCCTCGACCCGCGTTCCGCGGACGACCCCGCATTCGACCGTCGACCGGCCCATTGCACTAACCCACGCGGCTCTCGCGTCTATTGTGGAAGCGGCTGTACAGTCTGCGCTCGCCGCCATCAAAACCACAGGCAAGAAGGAAACCGCGCCGAAAACGGCGTGGCCACAGTGAATTAACCCTGTTTACGAAGATCACCTCGACGCAACACGGCGCGTCTCACCTGCGATTCATCCGCTGGCCGTACCTCACTGGGCCTCCCTCGGGGCTACCGGGGGTCTCACTCGGTGGGGGCGTGCCGCGCGCACCTGGGACGCACCGCCCGCGCACATGACCAACATTTTGAAGACGCCACTGTGTGTTATTGATACACAAACAGCGACCAGCCCGTATTGACGGGTTGCGAACCGGACACCCCCCGCGAGCACTAGAATGCGAAAGGGGATCCCGACGGCCGCTTGCGCGGCCGGCGGAAGAAGACCCACTGACTCTTTTACAACTCGTGCGCTTCATGCGCCGTTATGTTAATTTTATTTTGCCTTCTGAATGAGTTTAGGAGAATTACGACTAGACAAGAATTAGTGACTACAGCAAAATGCGCCTCAGTTTACAAGCTTACAGAGCTCGTTAATTTTCGAGTCGAGAAGTATTGGCTGTTTTAAATACGTTTCAAAATAATGTGTATTTCAAAAGTTTATTTTTGCATCCTTTGTTGCCCAGAGTGAATACTCTGTACTATTGTACTGTGTACTATTGTTGTTAAATAACTACAATATTAGGCGCACATTACTAAGCTATAAAAATAATCTTGCTGTCATTGATGAAAGTCAGGCTTTTAAATAAATTTAATGTTAAGTAAGGTAGCATGTATTTAGAAAAATATAACATTTAAAAACGTTAAATAACCGCTGGAAAACCAAGATTTTATATTTAAAAAGAAAGTATTTCGATTCGACAACATATTAACTAATCCATTAGCCCACTACGCCATTACACCTGCGTTGTTTGCCTGGTCCATTTAATCGTATTAAAAATGCGTGGCTCGTGCCTCGAGAACTGTCTGAAATATTGACAGTCGGGAGTGTCGCTATGACAGACAAACGTCGGGACCAACTGGAAGTTGTCCTTTGACCGTCGCCCGGAGTGACAGTTAGCATTCGGAATGCACTATGTGGACTGTGGCTGGGTTATTTGCACGCCTTGATGGAAGTGCTGTTTACATATTTATAATATTGCGGATGTATCCGATGATGGCGACGCTATTTCCAAAATATTCTCACTATTAAGAGATCAAATATTTAACGCTAGTTCATTATTTATAATATTCATTCTTTATTTATTTATGTATGCTCCCTCTAACTATATATTTTTTTTTAATAGTATATATACGTGAAAGTTTAAAATGGTTTGTATGAAAGTAATTACAATCTCTAAGGTATTGTTTACAATCTGAACAAATATGGCTAAGCCTAAAATGTCGCCTCTTCGCTGTATATAAAGAATTTTATTGCCGTCGTCAAACGAAGCTAATCTTTTCACTCGGTAGGGCCTTTGATCCGTGTGCGTGACTATCAGACTCAAGTATTCGCGAAGTATCAATAGAATGGCTCCAGCGTTTGAATAAAATCCAATATATCTTTCACGATCGAGTGCCTCCTCGATATCAAAGTTGTCTAGTTAAAACGCTCGAAAAATGAAAGCCGACTCCGGGTCTAAAGGGAAAAGTTTTCCGAATCGCGCGAGCGTAACCAACACAGACCGGCGGATGAAGTGTGTCCCCATTGTGGAAAACCTTAACAAAATAAAAAATCGCGTAGGTAATTTTCTTTTCTTTCTTATATTACAAAGCTGAAGAGTTTGTTTGTTCGAATGCGGTAATGTCAGGAATCACTCGATCTAATTGAAAAACTGTGATGCATTATGGATAGTTAAATGTTCGAGAAAGGCTTTAAGCTATATAATATAACGCTCCGACTAAGAAGAGCGAAGAGTCAGTGAACAATTATTCATTTTTAAGTGACCAAAAAATATGTGTGATAGAATGATTTGTCTTTAAATGATTATAAAAAATATCTGCGAAAGTATATGCCTATCTTTCAAGATTACCTCAGAAGAACGTTGGGACACGGACGACGTCGTTACTAACCGAGAGAGATAAGAAGTTGTTTGCAAAACTATATTTTGGGGCTCAAAATAATTATTCCATGCGAACGAAGTCGCTGCAACCCAGCTAGTTTTTCATACATGGGGGCCAGATAGAGGCATTCACATTTTAGCATTGCAAACGTGTAGACTTTTCGATGTCGGCATAGATGGTATTTCGGTCCCGCTACTCTTAATCTAATCAAATGTTGACGAATTTGTTTACATACGTTATGCTGATATTCGCCACACGTAACTCAGTACACTTCGGGGCGTGTCCTTTGATGTCCCTTGTACGTAGTAATAATAGGAGCGGTGTTACGAGACGTGCTCGACGTGTAAACAGTGTTTGATTTTAATGCTATGCTCATCACAAATTTGTTCTAGAACCAGATAATCATAAGCAAAATATATTTTTTAGTTATAAACTTGTCTTACGTATAAATTATTGATCTAATTAAGTAATAGTGCGTATTCTTCCATATACTCGTAAGGTAGATTTCGTTCTTCGCCACACTGGCGCCAACTGCCAAGATCGGCGTATCCAAAATAATTAATTTAAATCAATAATATTTTGTCTAAGTTAATATTTTATAGTTTATAACATGTTACATATTCATTTGATTTTATAATGATAAAGAAGGACAGAATAGCATAGGGTTCATTCCTTGATAAGTGAAATACTCGGACCATTTAACATTTCAACAAGATGCACCGTTGACCTGTTTTTGGTTTGGATGCTTTCAATTAAATTAGTAGGTGTAACCTAAGATCTATTTTTCGGTAAAAGAAAACATTATGCCAAAAACTGTACCCTCTAGAAGTCAAATAACAACGTCCTGGTTTGCTAACCAAATTATTATTTGTTAAGCCTTCTAGGTACGTAATTCATAAGGAATACTCTGCTGAGGCTTAGTACAATGTTTATCCCCTGTTTGTGTTTCCGACCCGCTCTGCGATAGCCAGATGCATGGACTTGATAAATTTTCAGTCTGCATATGACACAGCGAGAACTGACGGTCCGACTGACAAATGCCAGGCTCGCATGAAACATAGGAAGCGACTTAATGGAAATTTACTCTATCCAGGCCCGAGCAAGATGCCGCTATCGGTGTAAATTAGCTGCGTCGCTGTATCTCTCTAAAACAATGCCGCTGTCACGGTGGCCGTCGGATCGGCTGTCTCCGGCTGTCCACTTCACACCCGAGCGAGGTCTTCGTAAATTCCACTCTATTCCACCCATCGAAGGTTAAATATCCTCTGACAGCCTCCACAGCTAGTGTTGCGGCTGGCAGGTGACACGGGCCTCTATAAATCTGCGCCGCGTAGCTTCCATCGTAAACACGGTCGAGTACAATCCTTTGATCTCGTCGAGGCGATCTATAATTTGCTATCTTTGCAAGGGTTCGTCTAATCGCGGTAGCGAATGCGAGCGCGGTATTGCAATTTATTGACAGCTTAATCAGGGTGCTGTGAACAGTGTGTATTGGCCTTATGCGTGCTGCCGTGGTCGTGGAAACTGTAAATAACTATATGCGGGATAGTAATAAATACAAAGCGAATTTTCTCCATAAATAGCACACTAACAACGTTAATGTTTTATGTAAACCTTTAAGAAAGTACTTCAAGTTGCCAAATACATATGCATATAAATACGTTATCTCCATTTGTATGAGCGTACGAAATGAAGACCGCAGCGACGGCACATAAATTATCTTATTCTGTTTCACCAACGGGGATCTATTACGGCCGATGTGCGAAACAAAAGGCGCATTACTCATACAAAACGCGCAATTAGTCGTCAATAGCGCGTGTTCCGCTTAACCGGTCATAATAACTCTCACCTTGAGAGATTTATTCGGTACTGTTCGTGGGAGTACTCCTGCTTCTGGATCAAAGGCTGATTCTTAGACCGTGATATCATAGTTGAAGAAATAAGACACAATATATATAGGCGTGCATCTCCTATGATGCACGGCTACAGGCATCCCGTCGTCGAATTTGTGTTGGTATGTTTTATGGCTGGGGTATGTCATCTTCCACCAAGTGAAGCCCTTGGTCTTGGCCCTTGTCTGTCCTCGTCTATCATAAAAATATAATAACAAGTATAGGCCGATCTCCTTACTACGTTTTCTTCAAAAATGTATTAAAAAAACTATTATCAATCAACACATCAAATAAGAATAACACGGCTATCTTGCTTGATTGGATTGAATTGAATAAAGTTTTTCTAACAAAATTTTAAAGGTAAAAAAGAAGAAATGGTCTCTACTCCGTAGAGCAGAGTTAACTACTTATAATTTAAGTAATTGTAAAGGAAGTAGTACACCTTTAAATAAAACCGTGCTTGCGGTAAATTAAAAAAAATGTAAATATGTTTCATGTAACTAATATATTTCGCGGTTTAAACCGTTCAAATGGGTTTATTTTAATAGAAAACTTCCTATTAATAATATATAGATTATTATTCGTAGCAGGTTAAATAAAGGCTAGTTTTATTTTGTTTTCAAAGAATGAGTTTCAAGTAAGCACTTCAAAGACCTAATTTATAAGAGGTACGGGCATCGGATCAGCAAACTTTCAATTCACCGCCGACGATAAGTCGATTTACTCGCATCGATAGAATTGCTCCGGTTTCTTTACAAACTCTACGGAGATATAATCAGCAAGAAAGTGTATATCTAAAACCTTATAGCGAATTAATTATGTCTAGCGGTTAAAGGTGTTTTCTGATTTAAGTAACTCAATGCCAACATATAGGTAAAACACATAAAAGTGTTAGAGTCGGGCCTGCAATCTACGAGGGTTACGGTATTATGCCAGTTAAGCTACTATTTGAGTTAGACAATTTTATATTTCCGTAAGTGAACAATAAGGATTTACACCTTCATTTAAAATTATTAATTTATCAACACAAAAGGCACGTGAACATAATTTATTTACTTCATACTCATTAAAGGTAGAAATTACTCCGCTAGCGTTGTTCTGGGCTATAAATCCCGAAGCTTTACTATGCTGTCTTAAATCTGAGCATAAAATTGTCGCGGACGAAATGAGAATGTCCCGTTTAATTAGATGCGACCGCTCTGTCGTCAGAACTGGGATCCCCCTATCTTTACGTGTCACGGTTCACACTCCCTGTACCACAGATTAATGACACTAGTTGGGACAATGTTACCTTACACTTTGCCGAAGAAAATTAGGCCTATTCTATAAAATCAAGTCTGCTTTTTACTCGAAACTGAATCGGCATTCCAGATTAAATAAATGTGTTGGTTTACTGTTCGCAACGCACTCTGCCCACCCTCGTTGGTTTTAGAACTACCCGCAAAGGATTCTAACGAGATTACCTTCGTGTTTTATAGGTCATCTCGACATGACGTTAATACATGATTTTAAAAAATTCTTTATCTCGCCGCGGGGCTTCAACACAATGTATTCAGGGCGTGAAATGTTTGGATTAGTATGGTTATTCAAAAGAAATGTTAGAATTTCAGTGTTTATTTAAAATGCATGTGCGATAAAAACTAGATTGTCTTTGAAAATTGTTCTATTATTTTATTTATATAATTTTCTATTTCAAATTAAATTACGAGCTTTACTAGTATTTAATAAATTTTTATCATAATTGTATTGCTTGTCAAGAATATTTTTTTAATAAATCACTTTTAAAGGTTTAAATTGCGAAAATAAATTTTAACTTATTTACAATTTATTTTAACTACGGCCCGACCGCGACGTCTCGGATGCCTTGCGGCACCAATGGTCAAGGGGGGGCTGAAACCCCCCTTTGCTATATTAGAAGTGTTTTATTTATGATTATGTAACACAGCTCGCGTTATATCTCTCCTAACAAAAGGGACAAAGCACATACATTTAATTAGACTAATGAAATTTAAAATAAAAAAGTCCGAGCAGAAGAAATTCGTTCTCATAATATTGAATTAACGTTCCCTCGCAGTCTAGTGGACTGCGGAAGTGAACATCCAAGGCCGAATAAAAAGCACTTTTCATAAGTCTCGTACAACATAGGCTCGGAGCAGAGCTGAGGGCTCTTGATGGCCACTTGAACGCTTGCTACCCCACAGTTGCCAGGTCTTAGCGTATACGTACCTTTTAGGGAGGTTTTGCTATAGCGCGATTAAAATTATCTTAAGTTATAAATATATTGTGGCTTTATACAAGTAGCAAACACTATCTAAGGGGCCACAGAATATCAGTGTTGAGAAATTAGCCCCAACGTACTAGCTGAGTGGACTCCCTTTTTAGAGGCAACTGTACTATTTAATTTTAACTGTATTTAGTCGTAAAAAAACACTTAACCGGTAAGCGCAAAATATTTTAGTAAAAAAAAATTGAATAAGATTCGCTGATGTATTTCTCGTTTTAAACCGTTAAAGTGAATCTAATTACAAGCAGTAAAGTAAAGTAAAGTTTTTATCTTTATACTTTTGGTATGAATAAAAATTATAGCGAAAAACGAAACTTTAGGTATGTGTAAATAAATTCAGTATAATATTTTTTTATTTGCTACCGATCGTATAAACTAAATTGGTGCAATATTCAGTCGCTGTCTACAAAATAACATGGTAGATAATTAAATTAAGCATATATCTGCATTACAAAGCGTTAAAGTATAAACATATAATTTATTTTTTATGAAAATCTTTACTCGTTTTGCAGTCTCAAGATGGCGTCCTCTCGAGTGCGACTCGGCCTTTACGGCTGTAATGAGACGCGTAGCGCAGCGCCACTTACTCAAATTTGATGCATCTCGTGAAATATTGCAATATATCATGGAATTTTCAAATTCTCCCAACTCTTAACTCGAGCGATAAGTTTCGTGTCCGCTCTGTGCGCAACTTAACGAAACTAGATTTTATTGTGAAGTATTTTATCTGGATGATGTATGACATAACTGCATTTATGCTCTAGTTTCCTTGAAAAAAGAGAAATATATTGGACTAAAGATTGGTTCTCGATTAAATTTTAAAAGACTTGCTATTAAAATGATTTTTGAATTTGAATACTTTTTGAATTTATTAAATGTATAAAAATTTACGATTCGGTCAGCACAGCACAAAGATCTGATCATCTAATATAATATAGAATATAGATAATATAGAATATAGATCTTTTTACCCTATAGCCCACATAAGAATATTATTTCACTTGAAATTTATCCGAAGACAATGTCGCAGTAACTAAAAAAATATTGATTAAATAATTCTATGTTTATATTTTCCGTAGGTACAGTAGCATATCGAAAAAAAATCTTAATCAAAATTAGGCTGTTGATCACAAAATGCCACAAGAGAGCTGTCACCGAACTTGTTAATTCACGAGTGTCCAGTACAATTCTCCAAACTGATTTGAATATAATCGTGTTTTCCAATATGGACCCTTTTGAGGACGCCCTTCCTACACACGTTACTGCCCTTATGAGACTAAAAACCGCGACTTTTTGTAAATATTATTACAATATTTTAACTTTCAAGATTTTTTTTATTGATAATAAATACTACGTCTTGTTTAGTTATTCACGCCTTCCGACGACAAAAATAAAAACAGTGAAATTTCCCCACAGATTTCCGTCGCTGGTCTTCGGATTGATAACTTATAATTACCATCTTCTGGAATTCGTAACGTCGCAATTATCACACAGCACATATCCTTTTATCGAATACGAGGACAATATGAAACGTTAATAAACATCGTCAGCGCTTTAATAGGAGGCAATAGAGCGATGCGATTTAATTTTCAGGCTCAGCGCAGTTTCCTTTGTATGTGACCTCGGTTTAACGAACTTGCGTCGATTGAACTGCGAATGTGGTGCAATTTGATGAACTAATCATATCCCCCGAATAATTGCAGACTTTACTGTGTCGTTCGTTTTGCTTTCCGCTCCTTTTATTAACCGAGCGAGCGAATTCCGAAACGGTTTCCGTGTAACTAGATCTCTGTGGCTCATTTTCCTTCGCGCTTTCGCCGTTATTATCTACTGTTTATTTTATGTTCAACATGGCAATTACAGAATTTAGGACTAATTCGGTCTATATGGTTACTGTGTTTGTATTTTGAAAATACTTATCAGCGGTTAATACAGACATATTATTAGAATATTTCAATGACCACAAAGTTATTATTATACAGGCGCTGTCCAAATAATCCAAATAATATCCTGATTCATAATACCAGATCGATTTTCGATTTATAAATATTGTCTGCCCAGTTACCACTAATTGATTTATACGATCTGCTAATAGTTCGATTTCTTTCAATAGAAAATCCTTTCAGAATAATAACCATACATTTTAGAATAACATGTGTCATATAATCAATTAAGCACTGAATTACTTGATGTTTTTTTCATTCAATCATTTAAAATTTTTCTGCTTATAATTGATTTCGTTTAAAACCTCACATTAGTCATCGAAAGGTGAGCATGACAACCGAAATTCGTATTTATTTAACTTATATCAAATCTCTTGTATCTATTTAAAGAAAATCTTAAACACAATAAATAAATTACTAATAAAAGAAAAACTATTTTCATTAAGTTGCACTCGACTATTTATACTTTTACAAATAAAAGATTATGTACTTAAAAATCTTGTTTTAGAAACATTATAAAGACAAATATTATAATTACAGAATTGTTCTTTAACCTTACATTCTCTTTAAGAAACAAATCATACGCGATGTAATTTTTACGACTATTAAATAAGATTGCACCTTTATCGTATCAGTAGCACTTTGATATGTTAAATTGACTCTCCAATTACCTCTTATCTGAACTACAGTCGGCTCTTAGGTGTCCATAACATCCTGCCACCTCCCTAAGACCCATAAAACGATAAGAAACTCCTTAATAAAAAGCCCTAATGATAATAGTCGAAATTACGTCAGAGGAAATATTTTACG